GGTGGCCACCCAAATGCCACATGACTCCTCTGAAGGAATAACGAGCTTCAGCGGCTCAGATGAGACTCAGAGTTACGTTGAGGTTTACAGTCAGAGTTTCTTCTCAGTGTGCCGCTGTGGTTTTTAAGCTGACCAGTGTGAGGCAAAGAAGGGGAACAGGCACATCAAAGCTCTGCTCTTTTAAGCTGTTCAAAGAATGGATATCCTGACAGACACAGATGGGAGGGCCACCCTAAACCATGTGATTAATGTTTGGTTACCAAGAACAAAGCAGCTTTTCCAACGTGAACCTTGGCATTACTGTCGCTCTGACAAGAGATCAGGCTTTAATACGTTTCTGTACCTGATGTACTGAAGCAAAAGATCTTGCACAGAAATAATCTCGTTTTATTCGTAAATTATTGGCTGAATGCTAAATTGAAGCAGCATATCATCATCGCTGTGTGTTGTCATTTTTCTCTTTTTGGTGCTGCAAAGTTGATGCAAACATTTTGAGATTTACAGCGTTACATCATGTCTAGATTAGCACAGAGGATAGGCAAGAAGCCACAAAGATCTCGAGGCTCTCTTTGTAGACAAAAACAAAAGAGCATCTTTTTTTTATTTGTCACCTCCTCTCCAAGCTGAGGGGTAATGAATAGCAGGATTAAAGGCGAGCTTCTGTGGCTGCAGAGATAGAGCACCGAGCTGCCTCTTAGCATCGTGGTCTTTTCATTAGCGGGTCTGTATTTGTGTGTGTGTTCAGGCAGTTGACAGAGGCTGGTTTTCCTGTTTGACTTGTTCTCTCTGTGCGAGTGTTTGTACAGCGTGTGAGGGCCACTGACAGCGCGCTCATCAATGTTTCACACCGTCACTCACTCACATAAATTACGGTGATTATCAAGACGCTTCTAATTTAAGCTCTTCTCTGTAGAAAAGGGGAACTTTTCTGAGGACAGTGCTGGAATTAGAAAGCGTCTTTGTTTTCCTGACTCGAGTAGACGGCACAAGTCAGAGTATCTAAAGCAGAAGAAGATCAGCGCTTCACTGAGGATGATGCTGTGCTGCTTATGCATATTACTGTCTGCTGAATCAAAGGATGAGTCTAAGAATAGAAGACAGTGAAAAACATGGGCCTGAATCTTTGCCAGAGAAGCCCTGTGTGTCTTCTAGTGCTGTACTTTTTTGTTTTTTTTTAGAGATCTACTTTATGTCAGACTTAGTTTGTGCTCGCGTTAATAATCTTGTGTTTTTGTGTGCATACATCAGCTTTTTCTCCTCATGATCTCCATCCTGTTAATCGCTGCTCTGCATTCCTTCAGCTATTTCCAGAGCTGATGCATTGAGCCAGAATGTAATATTAAAAACTCATGACAGACGGATTAAAGCAGCAGTCAGTCCCCATACTTGCATATACTGTAAAATGATTACATTGAATGTCCAGGATCAAGGTAACAGTGTGATTATAAAGGATTTGCAGTCACCTGATTTACATGTGGGACATGAGGAAGGGAAGAAGGACAGATTGGAGGACATGCAGGAAGTAAAAAATGAGGGAAAAGAAAGACTGGAGCATAAAAGCACTTCTTAAAAGTGACGCCATCGATGAAACAGCCGAATATGATGGATTTGCAAATGTAGGACCTTGTAGCTGCTCTTGCAGTTATCTTGCTTTCTTTTCGCATTGCACCTAATAACAATGTAGTATATCATATACCGAGGCCTAAGTAATGTGTAAAACCGAAGAATAACAAGTTAAAAATGGTTGAAATAAAAGATAATGGCTGTATCATCCACTCACTCCCTACTCATTACATAGGGACCACTATGTAGGGAGCACCTCGGCAAAGCA